CCCCGGGCGCGCTCCCAGGGACTCCCAGGGGCTCTGAGTGCTCATTTTCCAGAAGACAGTTGGGAGAAAGAAACCCTGGACTTGAGTTGGAGAGAAAGACCCTGGCTCCACCAGCACCAGCCAGTGATGGGGCACAGGCTACTTCACCTCAGTTTCTTCATCTGGAAGATGGGGCCGAAAATCAGGGGCTGACATGGAGTGAAGAGATAACACCTCGCATGATTCTCGGGCCACATTTCGTGTTTAATGGATGTTGAGCTGAATGAACCTCCTTTGTAACTCAAACATATCAGAGAGGCATCGTTATTCCTCTCCTGAGCCAAGTGGCTCCGTGTGCACTCACTCGGCCTCAGTTTCCCTGGCTATAAAGTGAATGGCTTGCTCTGTACAAGGCTCAACTGCCCCTACGAGCCCCTTTGCTCCCTCTTCCCCCACCAGCGCCCCAGGGGAAGGAGACAGGAGCCCTGGGGTCAGGAGTTGGAGGACCGATCACTCAGCAGCCGGGGGGTTGGTGGGTTGGTGATTCATGAACCCAGCCACCAGGCAGTCACTTATCAAGGCATTTGGATCACTGGTCTGGCCCTTGTGCAGCTTCCCGCCCAGGGAGTCAACCCAGGGAAAAGAGAAAGGCAGGAAGGATGGGCTGGCCCCAGACCTGGAAGGCAGCCAGCGCCCCCTCCCGTCGGCGCTCCCTGACGCCCCACCCGGCCTGGCAGGCAGGCGGGCAGGGAGGGCAGCTCCAGCCTCACTTTGTTCCTCTGGGCCCCACAGCTGGGCTCTGACCAAAGGCCGAACACTGAAGAACTGCCAGGGCTGGGCCAGCCCGTCTGCTGAGGGTCTGAGGAAGAAGGCGTCCGCCCTCTGTGGGTCCTCGCCCCTTGGCAGCTGCCAGGCTCAAGGCAGAGTGGAGTTGGCATCAACCTCTGCTCTGACTCGGCCTGAAATCAGCTCCTTCAAGGTCAGTGTGGAAAGACTAGCCCTTGTAGAACCATGGTTATCAGAGACGGAATGGGTCTCCAAGAACATCGGGTCCAGAGAGTCCCAGATTCGGGCATTTCACTGACCACAAACCTTCAGAACAAATCGGGGGGGGGGTCTGCTTTAGGGTTGCCAATGTTTTGTTTTTGTACATTAGGGCACCATGTACCATCTGCTATCAGCTTCTTTTCATAAAAGACCGGACATTCTAAGAAGAAAAAAATTAGGAGGATATAATCTCTGGAGAAATGATAGTCCATAAATTATACTTAAGTATTTGACAAACGTATTCTTTGTCCTTTTCTCATTTAAAGCAAAACCATGAAAAGTAACTTGATCATAGTTCAGGACTGATTCGAATCACAGACCTAACCCCACTCCATTTTGCAGGTCAGAACACTGAGGCTCAACGACGACGAAGATGACCCAGGTGACCCAGCACTTGAATACCAGGAGCAAGGACAAGAATCAGATCTCTACCCAGGGCCATGCCACTGAGTGGGTCCTCAGTGTGTTGTCGTCCTCCCTGGCTGACTCCTTAACATGCTTCTTTCTGAGTCGCCCCCAAACCTTTCTCACCTCACCAGGGCCCCCTCCTCAGCAGATGTCTGTTCTCCCACGTCACCAAGAAAGTGGAACACAGGAGAGCACCCTGGATTAGAAATGCCCACACCGTGTAGCAGAATGTTCACAGTGCTTTATTCTTCACAGCCCAGACTGAAACAGTCCTGATGGCCATCAAAGAGAAGAATGGGCCACCCTGGACGGTTTGGCTCAGTGGTTGGATTGTCAGCCCGCGGATCAGTGAGTCGCAGGTTCGATTCCAGGCAAGGGCACATATCTCTGTTGTGGTTTGTCTCCAGCTCTAGTTGGGTCATGTGGGCCAACCAGTTGATGTGTCTCTCTCACGTCAATGTTTCTCTCTCTCTCTTTCCCTCCCTCCCTCCCCTCTGTCTGATGATAAATGGAAAAATATCCTGGGGTAAGGATTTTAGAAAAGGAGGAGAATGGGGCACTACACCGTGTTCTACAGCAACGAGAATAAATGAATTCCAACTAAATGCAACTAGATCCAAAAGAGAAGGGTTGATATAATTCTCTTTGTACAAGTTTCAACACATTGCAAAGTAGTCTGTGGTGTGAGCCATGATAAGGGTTATCCTGGAAGGACATTGTGGAGGGAGCTTCAGGGTTCTTCTGATATTCTGTCCCTTGATCTGGGGGCTGGTAAAGTGTGCTTGGTGGAAATTTCCTGAGTTGTGCACTTCGGTTGTTGTCCTTTCCTGTATCTATCCTACGCTTCAGTTAAAATTTTCCAAAAAACGAAAAATAAAGTAAGAAATATAAGAGCAGTTGACCAGCAATTCCAATTCTAGGAAGTGATCCTGTAGTTATCCTTGTATGTGGACAAACGACACATGGACAAGATGTCCTGGCAAACTGGAAACAACCTAAGCCCCTGATGATGTCAGCGGGTTAATTATGACCCATCCATGTACCCACATACTGAAATATTATTTAACCATCACAAGGCATGAGGTTGATTTCTGTGTAACAGCCACCAAGCTGTAACATAAAGTCAGCGAGCGAGGTTCAGAAGGACATAGAACACTATCTTGTGTCTCACAGTGACACAGACTCTCTCTGGAAGGACACACGGCAAATGGTGGAGGTCTAGCGGTGACATCTACTTCATATAGGAGTCATCTGTGTCCGTGTCTAGTCACCTGCCCTTGCTCTGACTGCAAGTGTATGGCACCTGGTGCTGACAGGGCCTCGGTGATGCCTCTGAGTGACTGTTTTTAGCTTAGAAACACATCAACATTCCTCTGATTACAGGCAGGACCAGAAGCCAGGGTTTGTCAGCAACCACAACCTGGTGTGTGTGTGTGTGTGTGTGTGTGTGTGTGTGTGTGTGTGTGTAGAAAGGCTTCACGGAGAAGTGGTGTCTGGGTAGACGAGAGGGAGAGCACAGACCAGCACGAGTGAAGACCTTCTGTGCCTTGAACATGGGCTAGATGTGAGCACAATAGGGCCTCATGCCGGAAGAGCCCTGAGCCAGCCTGCTGCCCAAGTTTCCGGGTATTGCTGCTGTCCAGGGAGCAGAAACCGAAACCAAAGCAAGAGCTCAGGCACCAGGCTCCTGGGGAGCTGCTGCCGCCTCTTTTCCTACGGGAAGGAGACACGGCCAGCCTCGCCTTGGCTGTATTGGCAGAACTGGGATTAGGACTGAGGTCTGACTCCAAAGCCCTGTGCTCTGCTGAGTGGCCCTTCCGTCTGGGAGTCAGGAAAGGCTTCCCCGAAGAGTCGCACTGCAGTCTTACAGCGTCAACGTGGAGAAGGGTTGGGGGTTCCACATGGAAGGAACACCATGTGCAAAGGATTCTGTATTTGGAGAACTGGTTGGAAATGACGCAGGAATTGCTGCCTGGGGTCTCGTTCTGCAGTCACAAATTCCTGCCCAAGCAAGGTTCAGTCCCCACTCCCAGAGCTGTTTGGCTTGAATGTGGGTTTGACACCATCTCTACTTCCGGAAGATCATTCTGGCAGTGAGTTGAGGAGACCTGTTAGGGGACAATGGCAATGATGCAGGTGAGACAGGATGGTAGTCCTGATGAAGGCAGAAGTGGGGACAGAGAGAAGTGAGTAGTTTGAGAGATGTTTACGAAGAAGAGGGCATGAAATAATGGCAGAAGGAAGCAAGTGCAGGAAAGGGAGGAGTCAAAGACGACCTTGGATTTTGGGGTATTCTATCCAGATTGGATAGAATATGAGTTCAGATTCAAGGACACTGAATTAGAGGTGTCTGCAGGATAACCAGGTGGGTGGCCCATTAGGTGCTCAACTGTATGTACTTATTAAACTAGTAGTTACTGTGCCCTGCAGTGAGCCAGGCCCTGGGGTTTGCAATGAATTAAACAAATTCCCTAACCTTGGGAGGGTTCCCTCTGGTGAGGAGCCAATAAACAAATAACTAAAGAAACAACAGTCACAAGGTGCTGTGGAGGACCTCTGGAAGATGAAAGGCAAAGAAGTTGGAGGTACCCTATTCAACCCCTCTGCCCCACCAGAGCAGGCCTGTGAGAAACAAGTTGTGGCCAGAGCTCTGGGCCCCACCTGCTTCCTTCTCAGTACGAGGGGAAATAAAGGTGCCCTGGGTATGTCTCTCATTCAGGCCTGAGACCTTCCCAGAGTGGGTGATACTTACACAGGGTCTGGGAAGAAGGGGCGGGTTTCACCAGGCATATTTCAGGTGATTACCTGTCTGGGTTTCCCCGGACCTCACTTCCAGTGGAAACGGGGGCCCAAAGCTGCCTGGGGAAGGATGTCAGAGACAGACACTGGCCTGAGAACTCTGGCTCTGGGTGCCTTCAGGAAGAAGCACATGCCGGCAAGTCAGCCGGAGCCAGCCAGCTTTCAAGGTCTTCGAGGTCACTGATGCACTCTTAAGAACAGACAGTAGATCACTGAAAACGAAAAGGCAAGCAGGCAATGCCCGGTTGAGGCCTCCAGGTGGACTGATTGCATCCATGGGGGCATCCATCGCCCGGGAGGGCTGCGGGCAGAGGCACCCTTAAACGTGGTTGGTCCCCACCCCGGTCTGCGGGTCCAGGACTAGGGACTTCCCTGACCGCAGCTGCGCCGCCAGCGCCACCCGCGCGGCCGCCGGGACCTTTCCCCTACTTTCCAAGACCTCAGGCCCCGCCCCTTCACCCAGACCAAAACACGTGCCGCATCCCGCCCTGCCGCATCACGCCGCGGCCAGGCTTTGATCACGCGGCTGCCCGCCGCGCCCATTGGCCGGCCGTGCATGGGTCGGGCGCGGATTGGCTGGCGAGCACCCGGCCCCGCCCCTGCGGGGCGCGGTGTATTTTGGTTTGCCTCCGCGCTCCGCCCCCGCGGCCGCGCCCTCAGCGGGAGCCCCGCCCCCCCCGCACGGCGAGGGCCGCGCCGGGCAGAGCCGCGCGGGCGGGCGAAGGCGCGTGCCGGCCTCCGGAGCTCGGATCGCGGAGGCTGCGTCCTCCGCACGTGCAGCCGCTGCCGTGCTCTGAGCATCCGCCCCGCCGTCGCTTTGTTGCCTCTGGGCTGCCGGCACCATGCACACGCCGACCTCCGTGGGTCCCGGCGAGACGCGCGCGGTGAGTGGCCGCTCATGGGAGCAAGGGGCGAGGCCGGGCCGCGCCGCCGGTGCAGGGCCAGCGCGCGAAGGAGGGCGGGGGAGCGCGGGGCTTCGCTCCGGCTGCACGTTGCGGGCCCGGACGGGTTGCAGAACCGGGCGGGGCGGCGGCCGCGTGGGGCCGGGCAGGGGCGTGTGCCCCGCGCGCCCTACCACAGCTTTGTCTCGCGCCCCCGCAGCGGCGCCGCCCAGCCGCCGGTGGGCGTGGGGCTATTTCCAGGCCATGACGTCACCAGGCCCTGTGAGGTGGTGACCGTTGGGTGGGGAGCGGCTGGCGGGAACGCGGCTTGCGGGCGGTGGGGGCGGGGCCAGGCCTGCGCGGGGCGGGGCCAGGCCTGCGCGGGGGCGGGGCCAGGCCTGCGCGGGGCGGGGCCAGGCCTGCGCGGGGCGGCGCTGCCCGGGCGGTGGGAACGCGGCCTGCGGGCGGGCGGGCGCTGCGGAGGGCCGGGAGCGGGCAGCGCAGGCGGCCAGCAGCACGTGGTGGGGCGCACGAGTCGCCTGTGGCCTCAGCCAGGGGCTCCTGCAGTCGCGGCCCGAGAGGTGCGGGGAGGTCGCTGGCCAGGCCTGGCACGAGGTCGGCGAGGGGTTTGGAGCCTGCGGTTCTGGGTCCTCCCAGCGTGTAGCCGCAGAGCAGGCGGCAGCCCCCACGCCTGTGACTTCACACTTTGCCCGGGGCCAGGCGGAAGCCGGGCCGGAGTGACGTTTGTCCAGGCTGCCTCGGTCCCTGTGTGCGCTGCGGGGAGCCTGAGCAGGGCCGGAGGGTTTGGCGCGCAGGCACGCCGAGTGGGAGGGTGCATCTCTGGACTCGGAGTGGCTTTGGGAAGAGAATCAGTCACTTGCAGTCGCTTCCCTTTCCACTTCCCGCCGAAAAAGAGCCAGTGGGGAACTTGGGAAGACGGTCCCCTGGGCGTGGTAGACCTTGCAAATGCATCCTCTCGGCCCCGCCCCCCACTAACCTTGGGGCTGAAGGAGTGACTTACTCCTGAGACAGGAACAAGGCTTTGCCTTCATGGGGCCCATGGAGTTCAGCCCGCCCCTCCCCCCGTTCTGGTTGACAGGGCTGTGGGGATTGCTCCCGAAAGCTCCCCAAAATGCATCGGTAGGGCGCTCTCCCGGTGGCTTTGCCAACTCAGTAAAGACATGCTCTCATCTCAACCAACCAGAAAACCTGGATGGAGTCCGGGTCCATTCCCCGCCCCCCCCCCCCCCCCCCCCCCCCCCCGTGTGACTAGCCGCTTTGGCTTACATCTCTGGGATTAACGTTTTATTAATCATTTACCAAAGAAGCACATGAACTTCATGTCAATTTTTTTTTGAGAATCGGATTTCTGTGGAAACTGCTTGCCTGCCACATCCAATCACTTTCCCTCTTCAGAACATTGGCATAAAAGCAAAGTTGTCATGAGTGTTCTGTTGACATCTTTTCCTAGAACAGACTTGCTGTGTGTGGAATGTCGTGTGTGTGTTGCGTGTGTAGTGTGTAGTTTAGGCTCCTGGTATGGGCAGCCTCTGTGTGTTTCCCCTGGACTGAGAAGAAGTTGTGTTGCCTTTAGGTGGACATCATGGACATATGTGAGTCCATCTTGGAGAGGAAGCGGCATGACAGCGAAAGGTCTACGTGCAGCATCTTGGAGCAGAATGACATCGAAGCAGTGGAGGCTCTTGTTTGCATGAGCTCCTGGGGTCAAAGATCCCAGAAAAGTGACCTATTAAAAATAAGACCCCTCACACCTGTGTCTGACTCTGGGGATGTCACCACCACTATGCATGTGGATGAAGCTACCCCGGAACTACCAAAGGACTTCCATTCTTTGTCGATGCTGGTAAGAGCTGGGGGAAAGGAGTGTTTTTGTGCAATGGCTATCGTACCTTCAATAAGTGTGCTGAGGAACGTGTGCATAGATTCCCTGGAATGCTGGCAGGCAAGTTCATAGCCTCCCCTTGTGGAGGACCTAAGGGTGAAACTGTTTTATCTTTTGGAAACATATTTTCTCCATTGATCCATCATGGCTTGCAGCTATGGGTTGCAGGGTTGAAATGCTCATAGGACAAGATGTACAGATTGGTTTGAGAAAGTAAAATGTACTCATTTCCCTGGGGAATGGCAGGGTGGGGGCTAGGTTCCCCCAGATGACTGAGTCCAGGATCAGGGTGTGTGGGTGGCAGCTGGGGAAAGCCTGTGATCTGGCACCAGACTCCCTAGGTTAGGTGGGTGGAAATACTGGCCTCACTGCCTCCCTGTGGCAGCCAACTTCTTGTGACTTGGCTGCAAGCAAGCACTGTTTTTTGTTTTCTTAGCTTGCTGCAGCTATGAAATTGCTGGAGGAAACTGCTTTTCAGCCAGGAGAGGTTGAGAGCTGTCTGTTGCTAACAGACGTGGAAATCATAATCTATTGTCCTGGGCAGGAACCTTGCACTGGAAGGAGACTGTGGAAAACCACTTGGAGAGGGATGAGAAAGAACTTGCAGGCGGTAGAGAGGATTGGACAAATATTGGCCTGGCTACAGGAGACCCTCTCAGAGTTACTTGGCAATGGGTTCTTCCACGGGGAGGCTGAAAATAAGTGGGAATTGTTGGGACAGTACAAAGAGGCTTGGTATAGGCAGACCACTGGCTAGAGCATGGCCCTTTGGGGATCATTCTCATAGGTTTACCTTGTGTCATCTAGGAGACACTGGCTAAGTGTGTATTAAATGATTACCATTGGGATTTTAAAAACTTGTGAGAGTCTACAATTGTGAAAAGTTCTCATTTTAAGTATGAATTTGTTTTCTCAACTGTAGTCTTAATGGTTAATTTGCTCATTTCAGTAACTGCAGGCCCAGGAGCGGCACTCACCTTAAAACCAAGCAAATGGATAGGTTTGGGAGAGGTCGGGGAAAGGAGGGAAGACTAGACAGTAAACTGCCTTGTGCAGCCTGAAATCCACCGTTGTGAGCCAGCTTAGACCGTTGTTTCTAAATAACTTCATTTTAAAGGTGTTGGGGGCAACATGATCAAAGTAAGCGCCTTTTAAAATTTAACCAAAACAACTTTTTCACACAGTATTTTTTTCCCCAGTGCATGACTCCTCCTCAGAGCCCTGATCTCATGGAACCATCGATGGGGACACTTGTTCCTTCCCAAGTAACTGATTCCAACGCACACATGATCACGGCCATCCCCCCAGCCTCTGCTGGGGCAGCCAACGTGCTGAGCAGGAGGGAGGAGAGGAGCCTGCCTGGTTTGGAGCCAGCCCCTGCCCCTCCCTGCAGGGCTGTGGTGACGAGTGTCATCCACCACACTGAGGGCGGTCCTGCTCCTGTCCACATTCCTACCGCCCAGACTCAAGAACGCCAACTTCCAGACAACCGAGGAGAAGCACAGTTTCTGGGACATACGGAAGCTTTGCGGAACACACACCTCACAGACAATTTGCTCAACATTAATTCAGTGTCCTGTCCACCTTGCTCGAATAAGTCTGGTGACCTGATTTTTCCAGACAAAGGCCAGCAGGCAGGTTGGCCAGTTGCAATTCAGACCTGCTCACCAAAGAGTTATGAAAAGGACTTGCCAGGGAAAGCCACTCCCCTGATTTCTGTCCCCATCCCCAGTCCCCCTGTCCTTTGCCAAATGATCCCTGTGACTGGACAGAGTGGCATGTTACCGGCTTTTTTGAAACCACCTCCCCAAATACCTGCCGGGACTGTCACACCCATTCTACCCCACACTGCCCCAGCGCCCCAGCCTGTGTTCATGGGACCATCTGTGCCTCAGGGAGCTGTGATGCTGGTCCTGCCCCAGGGGGTGCTCCCCCAGCCCGCCCCCTGCTCACCAGCAAGTGTCATGGCTGCTGGGAATACCAGGTTGTTGCCCCTTGCCCCGGCCCCAGTGTTCATCGCCTCCAGTCACAACTGTGCCCCTCAGGTAGACTTTTCACGAAGGAGGAACTATGTTTGCAACTTTCCAGGCTGCCGGAAGACCTACTTCAAAAGTTCCCACCTCAAGGCTCATCTCCGCACCCACACAGGTGAGACCTGGGGCAGGTAGGGCATTGGGAACAATATACCCTGAGCCTTCTCTGAGTAGGAGGCAAATCTGACAACTGCTGCAGAAGGTGCAGTGTGCTCTTTTCCTCGGGCTCTGAGAAGCTTCCCTGGTCTGTAGGGTCAACACCAGTCCCCCTGTTGGTGGTGGTCCTGGAACCTGGCATCTGCTCGCCCCGTGCAGTGTAGTACAGGTCTGTGCTTGTGGCCCTTGGCAGGCTGTTAGGGTGATGCTTCCATGCTCTTTCTTGCCCCACTGCTGGGACGTCTCACTCTGCGTGTTAGAGAACACGCACAGGCATTCAGTGAACATCAGTGTGGCTGACTGAGATTTACACGGAGAAGGTCTCTCCGAAGTGTGGAAAAGTTTGGATCCTAGAATATTTGAAATGTAAAGGAATTTGGTTTTCTTTGGGGAATATGTAGTTTTTATTTTAGAACGAGAAGTCACACAAGAAAGTATAATGACTTAGTGATGTCTTCATTGTCTTACCAGGTGTTCAATAGAATTTTCTGTAGTGATGGAAGTTTTCTTTTATTTATCCATTAGGGTAGCCACTAGCCACACACATTTGAAATGCAGACATTGTGACTAAGACATTGAATTTTACATTTTCATTAAGTTTACATTTACATGGCTACCTGGGGCTGGTGGCTGCCATGTTGTGTAACAGGTCTGAGGGCATCTGGTAGAGTTTCTGTGTTGGTTGATGAGGGCAGATATTTTGGGTGTTCTGTGGCATGCTTGTTCTTTGAGTTAGTGTTCTGTTTTGTTTTGAAGAGTCCTGTGGTTAAGTAGTTTGCTTATTAAACTTGCCTTTCAGGGTTCACACGAATACACACATATAAGCACAGTACCAGGCCACAGGTTCTGCAGTGTAGGTGTGTTTCATAAGCTCTCTTGATCATGAAATTCCTCCCACCAGAACAACTACTAATGGCCTGGGGACGACAGTGAACAGTGGACTACAGTGTGGAAGGCAGAGCTGGAGGGGTTGAGATGCAGTGGTTTCTCAGGGGCACATCGCAGCTCTGAGGGGGCGGCTCCCTCCTGGATGAAGCAGTCTGGATGGGCAGGCGCTGCAAAGGGCGCTCTGCTGCCCTGCACTCGACGAAGTGGGCTCTTGGCTGCAGGTACGGGCTCCAGACCTGGCCTGCCAGACACCTGCCTCTCTGCCTTTACCTGCTCACTCCAGTTCCACAGTTCTGCCCTCCACCCTCTGCCCATCTCTCCTTTCTGAAAACCCTTCAAGCGTCTTCCAAAGTCAGTTCTTACAAGTGTTTCCTGATCTGTTCTTCCTCCTTTGACTCTAGTGGTTTACTGTATTTCCCACCACATTTTTTCTTTGTTTTTTAGCTTCCTATATACTTGACCATCTAACTGGATACAAACTCTTGGTGTCTGACTCAGGGGACCAAGCAGGGGATGCTGGTCACTGGTGCTGCAGGTGGCTGGCACCTCTGAGGGCTCACCCACCTGGCGTCCTGCTTGCCACTGAGACAGTCCAAACACAGATTCTAACTTGGGGTGGCAAAGGAGTGAGGTGTCACTATAATTCAGTCAGCCTCCCTTGGTAGAAAACTGACAGAATGGCATAAAATAAGGTGGTCAAAACAGGCTTCCCTCAGGTTTCCCCAAATACTTCCATTTAAATAACCATACAGCTTTTTGTGCTGTTTTATAATACTAAATTGGGATTTTCATAAGAAATAGAAACCTTAGGTAACTTTACCTTAGATAAGATGGTTTTTCATATAGTTCTACCAACCTGAAATTTTTAAAACTAGAATAAGGTGGAGTGAGCAAAAGCTACATTTCTGATCTGTTGAAAACAGATAGGGCACTTGATAAATCCCATGCCAAAGGGTGGTGCATCGCTGTCCAACACCTGGCCTGCCTGGCTTGCTGCCAACAGTGGTGGGGTTCCTTGGAACAGGTGGGCATCCTGGAAATCCATGAGGTTCGGGCCCTTTTCCTTAGAATGGTTTTTAAAAGACTGTTGTGATGCTGAATTTTCCCATTAATTCAACTTTGAAAAATATCAAATACTTCGTGTCTTCAACATCATTCATTCAAAAACCATTTGTTTGCCACCTGCCACGCGAGGCGCTGAGCAGAGCTGCACAAAGATGATGGACTAGACCCGCTTGGACCTCGGAAGGCAGGTCACGGCAGTGAGAAGCAGCATCCAGTCAGTTTGCGAGGGCTCCAGGGCTCGGGCAGAGGTGTTTGTCACAGTCTGTCAAGGTAGAAGCTTTAGGGTGCAGGAAAGGGAGCCCTCCTCCTATTTGAAGTGGGACTCTGCCATTACCTGCAGACAAAAGGCCCCCCGGGTCACCTCTGGAACTCCAGGAAGACATAGTAGGGGGCACCTGCTGGGTGCTTAGAAACTGAATGAATGACAAAGACTCTTGGGGCTGGTAACTGAATTCCAACCCATTTTGCAAGAACCTCTTTGTCAGTAAAATAACAAGTAAGAAGATGGAGTTAATGATTCTGAGAAGTCTTACAGGTCCTGAGAGGGATGTTTATAGATGTGCAGCTTCCTGAAAGGGAAGGGATTTTTCTTTTGAAGAATCCACCCCCTACCGTGAGCTAACAGTTGAAGATTTGTTTTTATTTAAAGATATCTTTAGGAAGATTTGATCAATTTGACATCTTAGTGGGCTCTGGCATATTACACCTTAGGTGGGGCAGGAGGCAATGAATCTTGGAGGATTTCTTGACTTCTGAATAACCTGATACCAGAAGAACAGGGTTTACTTTTGTCCTAGATTTTGATGAACACAATTTAAAAATAACATGGATTAAGCTGTCCAGTAGGTGCTGAGCATTAACATTTTCTTTAATATGTGTTTTCTCACCGTTAGGAGAGAAGCCTTTCAGCTGTAGCTGGGACGGCTGTGATAAAAAGTTTGCTCGTTCAGATGAACTGTCCCGCCACCGCAGAACTCACACCGGGGAGAAGAGGTTTGCTTGCCCTGTGTGTGATCGGCGCTTCATGCGCAGTGACCACCTGACGAAGCACACCCGGCGCCACGTGACCACCAAGAAGCCCCCCGGCTGGCAGGCGGAGGTTGGCAAACTGAACAGAATCGCCTCAGCAGAGAAACCCAGGAGCCCGCTGGTGAGCATGCCAGCCTCTGCCTGAAAGGTCGGCGGGGAGCCGCCGTGGGGATTTTTCAAAGACTTCTTTTCAGGAAAGACTGATGGTTTTCTCTCCCAAAATCATGTCTTGGGGGCAAGGGAGAAGAAGGGGCTGTTCTGATGGAAGTACGTTAACTGTTCTTTTTTGGTTGAGACCCCATTTAGTGTCTTTTGTATTTTCAGTTTTTTTAAGGAAATGGAAGAAAATTTGATGATCTAAATCACCAGCATTCAAACAGACATTTCGGCAATAAATTTTACAAAATCTGGATTTTTACAGGCTTTCTATTCATGTTTTGTAGAAATGAGACAGGGTATGACTTTATACTGTTTTTTTATGGAGAGATTTATATTGTTGGTACTTAGATCACCAGTTTCTAGACAGATGATCTGCGGTCTTCTTTTCAGTGTTTAACAGCGTTTTATGATACACCCACTTTCAGCAGCCTCGGAGCATCCTTCAGCCAGGAAAACCCAGGTTTGTCACCGGGCCTTTCAGATCTAAGAATGTCTTAGAATCATAACTGGTCGACAGGGGTCTCAAAGAAATGGGCCTGGCCCGTGTGGCTCAGTAGTTAAAGAGTGTTGGCCTCACACCAGATGGTCGCGGGTTTGATTCTGGTCAAGGGCACGTACCTGGGTTGCAGGTTCGATCCCTATCCCTGGTCAGGGCTCATGCGGGAGGCAACCAATCGATGTGTCTCTCTCACATCGATGTTTCTCTCTGTCTCCTCTCTCCCCCTCTCCCCCTTCCACTGTCTGTAAAAAAAATCAATGGAAAAAATATCCTCCAGTGAGGATTAACAAAAAAAGAAAAAGAAAAATGGGGAGAAAAACTTTGCAATCAGCTTCTTTAAAACATTTTCAAGGGATATTCCAGACAACCATTCCTTTACAGCTGTAGCCCAAGGAATCTAAATTTTGGTTAAGTAGAACTAGTCGCCTGTGTCCGTGGTGTGTCTTATGGGGGGTATGCCCAGAGGACAGCTGAGAAACACTCCACAGAAGACACCCTGTAGTCGGGAGCCTCTGCAGGATCGGTGTCTGTGCCCTGCCGAGAGCACACCACTCCCAGTTTCCTGCTTGTACCTCAAACACGCAAACCCAACTGCTCTGCCTATTGTCAGTTGGCTTCTTTTACTGTGGCCTTATCCATAGTGTCTAGTGGGTGGAGCAGCTTCTTAGAGAAAAAGGAAATGGCCTTATTGGTTGGAGAAACTTTCCAGCAAAGTGCAGCCTTGTACTCTGTATACCAGGGCGAAGCGTGCGTGCGGGTGGCCCCGGCGCCAGGGCTCTGCCGCCTCTATCTGCTGCGAGCCGCGGGAAGTGCAGGTCACGATAGCACCAGTGCGCCACCCAGCTGCCCCCTCCGTGCTGCTGGAAGGGAGCTGTTCTGATCAACAGAAAACTGCTTGCAATTGGTGCTTTGCAGTCTGACAGAAATAGACTGTGGGCACCACAGTGAAGCTGCGTGAGCAGGGCCCTAGCTCTCAGCCACTGCACCCTGGTGACCGGCAGCCACTGTGGCTGCTCTCGTCAGGCGGCCCTGGGGGCCAGGCAGCGGGCTAATGGAAGGAGCGTGGACGGCTGTCATCGTGCATTCGGAGTTCGTCTCTGCTGAAATGATGGTGGGTGAAGTACTGAGTAAATACAGTTAGGTTCTGTATCCAGTCTTTTATGTCTGCAAATCCTCACCTGGTCATTCATTGTACATTAGTTGATACCCATTAAATTGCCCTTCAGTGAAAACTGGTGTCTAACATCCAGGTCTGTGAGTGCTGGCTGTGTGGGGGAGGCTCCTAGATTTTTTGGACACAGTACTTTTGTAGTATTCCTCCTGGTCACGAGACAAGACAGTTGTGCAGGAGAACAATGAGACGTCTACAGCTCGGCCTCCTCCCCGCCAGCCCTCTCTTTCCACTCACCTCTTAAGTCAGCCCAAACATCGCTGTGTGTATGCCATAGACGCACTGAATTTGGGTGTTTTCCCTAATTATGCAAAATAATGTTAGTCCTCCTAATGTGGGTAATACAGAGTCTGAGTATTTGGTTGCGTGTCACACTGAATTTCATCTCTGAGCATTGTGGTTTCTAAAGACTAGATGTGTTACAAATGGCTTTGATTTACACTTCCGTTTCCTGATTAGATTTAGAAATGCCTCTGTAAACAGACTTTTTTTGCCTTCTGCTTGTCCACTGAAAGATGGTAAGTTGGGAGAGTTTCGTCCGAAGAATTCCACTCCGTCCTGAGCCGGAGCCCGGAGCCCGGAGCCCGGAGCCCGGAGCCCTGCGCTGTTCCGCGGCTCCCCCGGCGGGCGGCCCTGCGCGGCCCAGCGGAGCGTGTGCGGCCGGCCCTCCAGTGCACTTTACTCCGGAGCAGTTTGCCTGACCTTTGTTGACTTTGAGCCTTCTAAGTAGTCTCAGTAATAAAATTTTAAATGTTTTGGAATTATGTCTTATGTAACAGACTTGGACTTATTATTTAAATGAATATGTGACGTAACTTTTTTCTTTGAGTCGTATAAAACTTCTTTGATTTGCAAACTGGACTTGTGTCCTGTGTCTTTTAACTGCCCCCGCGTGTACCCAGTGACTTGTCAGAAAACAACATACAAAAGCCATGGTCTGTCGGCCCAGCCTAAGCCTCCTTCGTGTTCTGGGTTCTGTTCTGCTCTCGGGGCACCGTTTAGATTCCATGGAGGGTTCTTTCTGAAAGAAACTGTGGCGAGGCGTCTCTGTGTTGGTCTCTCTGATGGTGGGTCTGGTCCTGGCAGAGTGGACCCTGGGTGCTGGGTGACCCCAGGTCCCTCATCCTCGAGCTCTTCCTGTACCAAGAGGTAGAATGGGAGGAAGCCTCTTCCCCTCCACCCTCCATCCTGAGCCCAGGCTTTAGAAGTGTCACGGGGCCACAGTCTTCACTCCTGCTCTTGGGGTATGTTATCTCCTGAACCCACTTAGGCTGGGACTTTGCATCCACAAAGGAGCTTCTGTGGGTGTTGCCAGAGGTGCCTGGGTTCAGTTCTCAGTCCTCATTGTATTTGTCCAAAATGACCAAGCCTCTCATCTCCCCAACACTTGATTTTCTCACGGCTGACTCTTATCTTTGAAAAGAACAGCAGGTCTACCCTTTCAGCTGTTCAGGTGTAAAGCCTTGGACTCACCCTGGCCTCCTTTCTCACTTGATGTTCAATCCTGTTGACTCATTGCCTTCCAAAGCCACCCATCCTGGGATGTGATGGTGGCAAAGACATGTAGGTATGATTCGTGGGCCACTGGTCCTGGTCATACGTGTGCGTGTGCATGAGCATGCAGGCGTGTTGGGAGGTGTGGTCATAATGGGCTTTGCACTTAGCAATCCACCTAGAGGTCCCTCCAACTCCAACCCCTTTGCTTCTGGGTGATGGCCACAAGTTTGTCACTCAGCTTTGTGACTCTGTGCCTGCTCTCTTCCCTCTGTTGTCACCAAGATTCTACTTTGCCACTGTGACATCCACTGTTCCTTTGCTTTCAACCTGCCTCTCTGCTTAGGAACTTTTTTTTTTTTTTTTTTTTATCCTCACCCGAGGACATTTTTCGATATTTTGCTCAGATAGAGTGAGAGGGAGAGAGAGAGAAACATCGACGTGAAAGCTACACATCGAGTGGCTGCCACCCACACGACCCAACCAGGGCCGGGGACAAACTGCAACCAAGGTACATGCCCTTAGCGGGAACCGAACTCGGGTCTCTCCGGACCGCAGGCCGACGCTCTAACCGCTGAGCCAAACCGGCCAGGGCAATAATTTATTTATTTATTTATTTGTTTGTTTTTTATCCTCACCCGAGGATATTTTTCCATTTTTTGTACAGATAGAGTGGGAGGGAGAGAGAGGAAGGGAGAGAGAGAGAGAAACATCGACGTGAAGGGACACATCGAGTGGCTGCCACCCGCACGACCAACCAGGGCCGGGGACAAACTGCAACCGAAGTACGTGCCCTTAGCGGGAACCGAACCCGGGTCTCTCCAGACCGCAGGCCGACGCTTTAACCGCTGAGCCAAACTGGCCAGGGCTTGCTTAGGAACTTTTAAAACGAGTAACTTGAGACATGTTCTTAACAGCTGGGCCCCATCCTGGAAGGAAGCCCAGGCCCCAAGGACTCCTTACCCCAGAGGAGAGAGACGCTTAGTCCCCAAGTTAGGGAGGCTTAGTCCCCAAGTTAGGGAGGCTTGCTCCCAGAGGCCTCTCACTCACTCCTCCACCCCAAGAAGCCTAGTGAGTCTCAGGGTGGCCCTGAGCTGGCTCTGAAACAGGCCTCTCCCCAGCATGGTCTCGCTGAGCTCAGCTGAGAAGCTTGCCAGAGGCTAGGATGATAGAGAGATGCCACAGGCCAAGTGCTGGAGGCAACCAAGCAATGTTTCTCCCTCCCTTTCCCTAAAACCCGTCAACATATCCTCGGGTGAGGATTAAAAAAATAATAGTAAAAAATTTAAAGAACCATTTATATTACTAAAGTAGTAATGACTTTAATCGTTACATCAAAAGGGTTCGTTTGGGCTTGGGTGTGAGAAACAGCTCTCGTTTTGGGGGGATTCCGAGTCAACCCTTCCAGGGCTCCACCCCGACTTCACAGAAAGAAACCTCCCAGCTCTGGAACATCTGATCAAAGGCACTCCCGTCAAGTAAGGACATTCATGGAAACACCCATTTGCCCATGATGGCAACAGGCCTGTGGGTCTGGCAACAGTGCCAAGTGGCCATTTGCTGGTTTCTGAGATGCTCTTGCATTTTGCAGGCGATGCCAGGGAGGCCGTTGTGTTGGTGGTAAACTCCAGACAAGCTGGGACCTATTCTGGCTTTGGCAAAAGCTGCTGTCGCACCCTCACCAGCCGCTCTGGAGGGGCCTGCCTCTCCCTGCGCTTCCTAGGAGCAGCCACACCCGGGCCGGCACAGAAGTCCCGCCCCCCATTCAGGCGGTGGACCTCCTGGCCCTGCCTCATGGCCAAGTCAGCTTGCTTTCTTTTTTTTTCATCCTCACCCAAAGACATTTTTGCATTTGACTTCAGATAGAATGGGAGGAAGAGAGAGAAACATCGATGTGAAAGAGACACATCAACTGGTCGCCACCCACACGACCCCAACCCGGGCCGGGGACAAACCACAACCAAGGTACATGCCCTTAGCAGGAACCGAACCTGGGACTCCCCGGTCCACGGGCTGACGCTCTAACCGCTGAGCCAAACTGGCCAGGGCAGCTTTTTCTCTTTTTAACCTTTATTGTTGAAAGTATTACAGATGTCTCCCCTTTCCCCCCATTGAACAAGTCAGCCCTTTCATTTGTCAGCAGGAATGTCGGGCTCTTCTGGCCTCACTGCGACCGTTACCTTCCACCAGTGAGAAGACCCATCAGGCACTGGCCAGGTGAGAGCAGGTGGCCCTGAAGGCCCTTTCCAGGTGGGACGGGCAGGCATCCTCCGAGGGGGTGGGGGTGGGGGTTGCTCTGTGCCCCAGGAGGCTGGGAACATGGGAGCTGAGAGGGAAACAGGCCCAGGGAGGAAAAGTGGCTGCAAACCAGCGTGAGAGGGTCAGAGCTGGGGCCTCGGGCCCAGTGCTGCGCCTTCAGGGGGGCCGGCGGGCTGGGCTCTCAGCAGCCTCCATCACCGGGGCCTAAAGGTTCCGCCCAATCCTTGCTACTCAGGTGCGGCTGGGAGCCAGCAGCTTGGCTCTCACCTGGGAGCTGGTTAGAAATGCGGACTCGGGCCCACCGCAGACCCCCAGAACCAGAATCTGCACTTTGACAACTTCTCCAGAGATCCACTTGCAGAACTCAGGGTGACCCTTCCAGCTGGGCAGGGCACACCTCCGGGGTGCACCCTCACAGTGGAACCTTGCTGAAGCGCTGTGGGATGTATCAGAGGCCCCACATCGGTTCTGAGCCCACTCCGTGAGGAGCCCTCCCCAGCCCAGGCGGAGAGCAGCCATCAGAAAGGGGAGGCACGTGGGCTCCAGCAGAACCTGGCAGACAGGCCCTCCCGGGGTTGAGAGGAGGGCACGTCTGTGGAGGTCACCTGCCCACGCGGCACCGGCACGCCTCCTGGTCTGGGTTTGCACCGCTGGCCACCTCTTGCCAGCAGGCATGCCAGCCGGCGGCTGGCCTTGTTCGGGGCCGTCTGAATATGGATGGGAAAAGGCTGGTTTGAAAGATCCGTGAGTAACTGCATGTTGGCAGTGGCTCCGCTACCAGCGCGGGCCCTGGGCGGGCCGGGGGGGTGCGCACCCCCAGCCCAGGTTCCTAGAGGCTGGTCAGGTGGGGCAGGCGCTGGCGGTGCCTCAGCGACAGTACTCCTGCTCGATGCTGGCCATCAGCTCCTCCTCCGAGTAGTCATACAAGATGACCGACTGCCTCTCTGGCCTCTTGTGGCCACTGTCTGGGGCTCTGTGGGCCAGAAACACAAACAGGGCATCAGGAGACAAGGTGTCGCCCTCTAACTTGGCATCTCTACTAGACAACCGCAATGGCCCCTTGATGGAATTCCGATCATCCTATAACCAGAACCAAAAGCCTTTGCCCTGGGGACCTCCCGGTCTCTTGCAGGAGCAGGTCTCTGCCTTCATCTCCTCGGCCTTATCTGCCAAGACCTTGCCAGCCAGCACACCAGAGCCTGCAGTGTCTAAGGGTGAGGCCCCGAGGCAGGAGGGCCCAGTTCAAAGCCCAGCTCTGCCACTTACTAGCTCACTGACAATTTTTTCTCTAAAATGGAGCTGTATTCATAGGTTCCTTCTGCATGCATAGCATGTGACACTGAATCTTGTCCTCAGCAAGTGTGAGCTGTGGTGCATAGCCATTTGCCTGACCTACTCCCTGTGCCTGCACCTCTGGGGTCTCACAGGAGCTGCTGCTGGGGGACAGGATGGAGCCCCGCCACGATCCGACCTGAGGGTGAGACGCGAGGCTGAATGCTGTGTGTCTAGCACGGAACTTGGCACCGAGAAGCACGGGGACAGAGGAAGGGCCCAGCCAGTGTTACTTCCTGTTCCTCCTGTCGCATCCGGGCTCACTGAAGATGGCCAGGGAGAAGGAATTCAGGATGGGGTGAGGCGCCTGAGAGACCCTCCAGGGCAATAGGGTCTCTTGGCCAAGCCAGGGGATGGAGCAGGAAGCCAGCTGCCGTGTGGGTGTCTCAGGGCATCAGTTCTGAGCCTGGGGTTCCTCAGCTGACACTTTCCAGGGGTTTTAAATGTGTTTTCCTGGCTCTGGCTGGTTTGGCTCAGCGGTTAGAGCATTGGCCATGGACCAAAGAGTCGCAGTTTCGATTCTGGTCAAGGGCACGTACCTCAGTTGCGGTTTGGTCCCTGGTCCTGGTTGGGGTCATGCAGGAGGCAACCAATCAGTCTCTCTCACATCAATGTTTCTCTCTCTGCACCCCCCCATCCTTCCCATTCTTTCTGAGAAGACTCTAATGGGAGTAGAGGGGCCCACCTGTTACCCCTCTGGGCACTAAATTCCTGAAGGCCAAGGACAGTGTCTCACTCTGAGTGAATGAGTGAGGCCAGGATCGGGAGGGGAGGTCCGGAATGCCCTGCGTGGTCTGGGTCATGGCGTTTTTCAGAAGGAAGGTCAAGGCTGCTGGGAGGACTGGAGGCTTCTGCACTTTCCCAGGGCTGGGACCCTCCCCCAGAGGTAGAGCTTTGCAATTAAAGAGGGAGTTCCGTGGGGAAAATGAGCTGGGGCCCCAGGAAAATGGGGGCCGTGAGGGCTGTGGGGGCAGCTGGAGCCAACGAAGAGTCGTATAGCACACGAGTCTCCCGGTACTTACTCAGACACGCTGCTCTCTGGGTGGTCCTCAGCTCTCTGTTTTGGGGACACCTTGAGAAGGAGAAAAGGAAGAGGCATCACAAGGTTATCAAGGCCTGGCCGGTGTGGCTCAGTGGATGGAGCATCGCCCCATGGACTGAGAGGTCCCAGTTCAATTCCTGGTCAGGGCATATGCCTGGGTTTTGGGCTCGATCCCCAGTAGGGGGCGTGCAGCAGGCAGCCGATCTGTGTATTTCTCTCACCTCGAAGTTTCACTCTCTCTCTCCCTTCCTCTCTCTCTAAAATCAATAAAAACATTTTTTTTTTTAAAGTGATTGATGGTGAGCATTTTTCTTTTTTTGGTCCGTGCCCCTAGCGGGAACCGAACCCGGGACTTTCCAGTCTGCAGGCCAACACTCCAACCGCTGAGCCAAACCAGCCAGGGCATGGATGGTGAGCCTTCTAATCCTCTGGCTTTCTGCTGGCAGACAATGGCCACCACATTCAACCCAGGGCTGAATGACCCTCTGTTGCAGGCATATACAGTTGGCTTCCATAGCCCAGGTTCTGCACCCGGAGTCAGCCCGCCAGGGGTCAAAAAGAGTCGGGGGGGGGGGGGGAACATTGTTGCTGACGTGTACCATGTAGTTATGCCTACAGTGATTGTGTTTGTACTGAACATGTACAAACTTTCTTGTCATTATTCCCTAAGCAACAGCATAACAACTATTCACACACCATTCACATTATATTAGGTGTCATAAGTAATCTGGTGATGATTTACAGTATATGGGAAGTTGTGCTTATGCTATATGCAAATACTATACCATTTGAAGATGTGGTATCTGCATGGGGCCCTGAAACCAGTCCCCCATGGATACTGAGGAACGGCTGCACCACGTTTTCTTTTTTTGTTAGTTTATTTTTACTTTTTTCAATTACAGTTTACATCCAATATTACTTTGTATTAGTTTCGGGTGTACAGCATAGCAGTTAGACAATCATATATTTTACAGTGTTCCCCCTGGTATTTCCTGTAGTTATTACTGTATTATTGACTATATTCCCTATGCTGTACTTTACATCCCGTGACTATTTTGTAACTACCGATCTGTACTTCTCAATCCCTTCACCTTTTTCACCCAACCCTCCAACCCTCTCCCCCCCACCCCCTGCAGCCATCAGTCTGTTCTCCGTATCGATGAGTCTGTTTCTGTTTTGTTTATTTTGTTCTTTATATTCCACATGTAAGTGAAATCATATGGTATTTGTATTTCTCTGACTAAATTATTTCACTTAGCATAATACCCTGTAGGTCCATCCATGCTGTCACAAATGGTAGGAATTCATTCTTTTTTATGGCTGAGTAATATATATATATTTTTTATCCTTACCCGAGGACATTTTTCCACCTTTTGTTTAGATAGAGTGGGAGGGGGAGAGAGAAAGAGAGAAACATCAACGTGAAAGGGACACATTGAGTGGCTGCCACACACATGATCCAACCAGGACCGGGGACAAACTGCAACCAATGCACGTGCCCTTAGCAGGAACCAAACCTGGGTCTCTCCGGACTGCAGGCCAACGCTCTAACCGCCGAGCCAAACCTGCCAGGGCTGGCTGAGTAATATCTATCTCTCTTGCAGCTTTTTTATCCACTCGTCTATTTTTTTTTTAACCCTTACCCAAGGATTATTTTTTTCATTGATTTTTAGAGTGGACAGGAGGGAAGGAGAGAGAGAGAAACATCCATGTGAGAGACACACACAGATTGGTTGCATGACCCTGACTGGGGCTGGGGATCGAACTTGCTCCCCAGGTATGTGCCCCTGAGCAGGAATTGAAACTGAGACCCTTCAGTCCATGGGCCGTCGCTCTAACCACTGAGCAAAACTGGCCAGGGCTCCACTTGTCTATTTTTTTTCTTGATTTTGAGAGAGAGAGAGAGAGAGAGAGAGAGAGAGAGAGAAACATCGATGAGAGAGCCCTGGCCGGTTTGGCTCAGCGGTTAGAGCATCGGCCTGCGGTCCAGAGAGACCCGGGTTCGGTTCCTGCTAAGAGCACCTACCTCGGTTGCAGTTTGTCCCTGGCCCTGGTTGGGTCGTGCGGGTGGCAGCCACTCGATGTGTCCCTTTCACATTGATGTTTCTCTCTCTCTCTCCCTCCCACTCTATCTGAACAAAATATGGAAAAATGTCCTCGGGTGAGGATAAAAAAAAAAACAAAAACATCGATGAGAAAGAACAATGACCGGCCACCTCCTGCATGCCCCAAACTGGGGATTTGGCCCGCAGCCTGGGCATGTGCCCTGAACCAGGAATCGAACTAGCAACCTCTTGGTGCATGGGTCGACCCTCCACCACTAAGCCACACTGGCCGGGTTCCACTTGTCTTTTTTTTTTTTCCTCACCCAAGGATATTTGTGCATTTATCCTCAGATAGAGCAGGAGGGAGAGAGGAGGGAAGAGAGAGAAACATTGATGTGAGAGAGACACATTGAATAGTTGCCATCCACACAACCCCAACTGGGGCCGGGGACAAACTGCAACCGAGGTACGTGCCCTTAGCGGGAACCGAACCCTGGACTCTCTGGTCTACGGGCCAATGCTCTAACCGCTGAGCCAAACCGGCCAGGGCTCCACTTGTCTCTTGATGGGCACATGGGTTGCTTCCAAACCTTGGCTATTGTAAATAATGAACACAGGGGTGCACATATTCTTTTGAATCAGTGTTTCGGGTTTCTTCAGATATGTGCTCAGAAGTGGAATCTCTGGGTCATAAGGCAGATCCATTTTTAATTTTTTGAGGACCCTCCATACTGCTTTCCATAGTGGCTGCACCAATCTACATTCCCACCAACAGTGCACAAGGGTTCCGTTTTCTCCACGTCCCTGCTAACACTGACTTATTGATGACAGTCACTCTGACGGGTGTGAGGTGATATCTATCCCGTTGTGATTGGACCATACTCTCTTTATTCATTTTGCTTATCCATCCGTTGATGGACACTTGAGTTGCTCCCACCTTCTGGCTGTCGTGACATTCCCACGAACACGGGTGTTCAGAACTCTCTTTGAGACGGATCTGCAGTTCTCTTGGGTGTATCTGAAAGTTTTCTCCTGTATTCATGCCGACCGGTCTCCCTGCGGACTTCCTCACTCGGCCTGGTTATGTTCTCAGAGGCCGCGTGCAAGAAGAGTGACACTTTATCCCACCATCCCTCAGCTGTTTCTCGTGAAGTCATCCTATGGGGACCCTGTTCCCTCGTGCCGCTTTCTACCGGAACCGGCTTTTGCTGTCGCCGGGAGTGGCTTTTCCTTTCATCCCCAGACTCCGTAAGGGCTGTTACAGCTACAGTTTCTCCATCAGGAGGCGACTGGTGAAAGAGCACAGGATCGGATACGACGTCTGCACACACAGCCCACGCTCCACTCCTCTGCTCACTACTGACGGGCACGCCGTGGGCCTCGCAGGGCATTGGCGTGGGCACCCCAGCGCATACGTGCACTGCGCGCCCTGAACAGGTCAAACGGCGGGTCACACACTCTAGTGATTTCTCATGGCCAGCCTTGTGATAGCTCTTCCTTTTCGATAGTTTCTTTCTGTGTCTATGACCTCAGTGTGTGGTCCTTTCTCTTGTCCATTTGTTGACGCCTTTAACTAGACTTCCTCCGATGGGAAATGCCCTCCCAGAAGTACAGCTGCTGAAGCAGCCAGGGGAGCTCGGATGAAAAGCGAAGACACAGCAGCCCCTGGTGGCTGCTGCAGGCCCTGAGCGGACGCAAGGTCGGCGGCCGCCAGACAGCTGGCAGCCTGCCACCTGGAGGTCAGACAGCTGGGCCCCAAGGAGGGCGGAGCCTGGGCTGGGGCGTGGGAACCAGGCTGAGCTCAGCGAGGCTTGAGGGTGTCGGGGCGGGGACATGTTCTCACTTGAGATCCTGTGGAGGCTCTGGAAAAACACACCATAGCTGAGCAAGGTGCAGGAAACAAGAAGTGGAGGAGGCTGATCTCTAGAGCATGGTTCCCAGCCTTCCCAATGCGCGGCCCTGTAATACAGGTCCTCTGTCTGCGTGGGCGGGCCGCCTGGAGCCCACAGAGGACCCGTGTCTGGTTCCTAAGACCATGGGAAATATGTGTTTTCCGATGGACTCAGGCGACCCCTGTGAAAGGGTCCTTTGACCCCCGAAGGGGTCGCGACCCACAGGTTGAGAACCGCTGTCTTAAAGTCTCCTCTGACTCTTCTTACAAGTAGGTTTTTTTTTTTTTAATCCTCACCCGAGGACATTTTTCCATTTTTTGCACAGATAGAGTGAGAGGAAGAGAGAGAGAGAGAAAGAGAGAAACATCGATGTGAAAGGAACACATCGAGTGGCTGCCACCCGCACGACCAACCAGGGCCGGGGACAAACTGCAACCGAGGTACGTGCCCTTAGCGGGAACCGAACCCGGGTCTCTCCGGACCGCAGGTGGATGCTCTAACCACTGAGCCAAACCGGCCAGGCCAACAAGTAGGTTTTTTTAAATATATTTTTTATTTTTATTTATTTATTTATTTATTTATTTATTTATTTATTTATTTATTTATTTTTATCCTCACCAGAGGACATTTTTGCATTCATCTTTGGGTAGAGTGAGAAGGAGAGAGGGAGGAAGAGAGAGAGAAACATCATGTGAGAGAGACACATCAACTGGCCACCACCCACACGACCCCAACCGGGGCCAGGGACAAACTGCAACCAAGGTACATGCCCTTAGCAGGAACCAAACCCGGGACTCTCTGGTCCACCGGCTGACGCTCCAACCACTGAGCCAAACCGGCCAGGGCATAGGTTTTTTTTTTTTAGAATAGTGAAATAGCAAGTTAAATTTTAGAAAATCTACTACATATCTTACTTACCAAAATGTATTATTATCCTGCTTCTATTTAACAAGTTCTTCCCTTAGCTCATAACAGCTTTTTATGTATATACAGGGTGGGACAAAAGTAGGTGTACAGTTGTTTGCATGGAAAATAATACAATAACTAATAAATATACCCAGCAGGTGTGGCTCAGTGGTTAAACATTGACCCATGCACTAATAGGTTGCTGGTTCAATTCCCGGTCAGGGCACATGCCCAGGTTGTGGGCCTGATCCCCAGTAGGGGGTATGCAGGAGGCAGCCAATCGATGTTCTCTCTCATTGATGTTTCTATCTCTCTCTCCCTTCTTTTCTCTAAAATCAACAAAGAAAAAAAATAAAAATAAAAATAAAAATAATACAGGAGCCCTGGCTGGTGTGGTTCAGTGGTTAGAGTGTTGGTCTGTGCACTGAAGGGTCATGGGTTTGATTCTCGGTCAAGGGCACATACCTAGATTGCAGGTTCAATCCCTGGTCCCAGTCACGGCATGTGCAGGAGGCAACCAATCGATGTTTCTCTCTCACATTGATATTTCTCTTTCTCCCTCTCTTCCCCATTTCCCATCCCTTCCACTCTCTCTAAAAATCAATGGGAAAAAAATATCATTGGGTGAGGATTAACAAAAAATAAAAATAAACCCTGGCCAGTTTGGCTCAGCAGTTGGAGCATTGGCTGTGGACCAAAGAGTCCTGGGTTCGGTTCCCGCTAAGGGCACGTACCTCGGTTGCAGTTTGTCCCCTGCCCCGGTTGGAGTCATGTGGGTGGCAACCAGTCGATGTGTATCTCTCACAGCGATGTTTCTCTCTTTCTTCCTCCCTCTCTCCCACCTGCTCTATCTGAAGATAAATGCAAAAATGTCCTCGGGTGAGGATAAGTAAATAAATAAATAAAATAAAAATAATAATAATACAGGAATAAACTGTTTCGAGTGTTCACAACTGTAAACCTACTTTTGGCCCACCAACACACATCAGTGGTATGTATACTCAAAAGAACAGCTGGAGGTGTCTGAAGGATAAACTTTGGTAGGTTTTGACATGTGGCTATACTGGTTAACCCATGTCCACAGTGAAGATACTCAACGCGTTCTGCACCTGCTCCGTGCTGCCTCCCGCCTTCCCTCCCACTGCCCGGCAACCCCTGGTCTGCTTTCCGGCACCGCAGATTCGTGTGCACCCTCTGGAAGCCTAGATACCGGACTCGCACAGCTGTACTCTTTCTTGTCTGGCTTCTTTCACTCAGCATCACGGTTGTCCTTTTTTTTTTTTTTATCCTCACCCGAGGACATTTTTCGATATTTTGTTCAGATAGAGTGGGAGGGAGAGAGACAGAAACATCGACGTGAAAGCGACACATCGAGTGGTTGCCACCCACACGACCCAACCAGGGCCGGGGACAAACTACAACCAAGGTACGTGCCCTTAGCGGGAACCGAACCCGGGTCTCTCTGGACCGCAGGCCGACGCTCTTAACCGCTGAGCCAAACTGGCCAGGGCAGCCTCACGGTTCTGAGACCCATCCATGTGGCGTGAATCAGTAGTTCTCATTTTTGAAGCCCAGGTTTGGTTGATTGATGTTTTATGTTTCACTACGGAAATTTTAACACATGCAGTAAAGAGAACAGGGTACTGGATCTCCTGGTACCTCATCCCTCAGCCTCAGCAAATTTGTCTTTTGCCAATCGGGTTAAACCCTCTCACCACCAGAGGGCGCTGTTGTCCGCACCCTCCCAGGCAGCAAAAGCTCACCGCCCAGGAGGACCTGCTGTAGGAGCTGTTTTACATTGCTTAAATGACAAAGGACTTTTTCTGGGACCACCAGTCCTAGGTCCTCCACCTCCCTTCACAAGGACTGGCCTTCAGGAGTGCTTCCAAAGAGAAAGAAAGTCAGGGAGACCTGGAGAAGCCAAAGGGGGTGAGATTGGAAGAACTGAATAAATTACACACATAAAATGTTCTATCCCTTTATAAAGCACATTCACATATATCTTCCTTTTTTTTTAATAATGTTTTTTTTTTTATTCCAGAAAAGGAGGAAGGGGGGTAGACAAATGTTGATGTGAGAGAAATACATTGATCCGTTCCCTTCCACATGCACCCTGACTGGGTTTCTAACCTGAAACCTAAGTATGTGCCCTGACGGGGAATCAAACCCTTGACCTTCCAGTGTATGGGACAAGGCTCCAACCTGAGCCACACCGGCCAGGGCACAGAGACATTTTCACACAGTTCTTCCAAACCCCCAGCCAGTGAACATTTACTGAGAGCTCAGCCAGACTGCATGCTCCTACCCCAGGCTGCTCCCTGACCCACATCCCTGGAGGCAGATGACCTGCCATGGCTCCTGGTCCTGCAGAGACTTGGGCAGTCACCGTGCTGCGCCCAAGGGCCTCCAATGTAAGTGAGAAGGTAGCCCTAGGTGGTCGCTTGGATCCCTTCAGCTCTAGCAATCTGTGATTCTCAAACTGTCAAGAAACGAAAGGGGTCCTGGACATTGGCTGTCAGGAGGCAGAGTCTGGTGAGAACCTGAACTGGTGTCCTCGGACTGGCGGCTCTTCTCCTCACTGGTAATGGGCTCTTGGTATTCAGGGGTGGGAGAATCTCCATTCCGGCCAAACCACTGCTGACAGAGCCCAGTTAGGGCTGGTCCCGGCTCTGCGGGCATCTCTCGAGGCAGTGCACGTCCAGCAACGTCCTGTCCACTTCATCTCCACCTTCCCGGACTCAGCACTCCACAGCAACCCCGGAGGCCTGGCATCCGGCAAGGCGCCATGAGACTGAGTCCAACCCCTCGCCACGAGCTCCCCACCGCGGACAGCAGCCAACATCCCCATCAACCTGTATGTTCCTGGTCACCTGGCCACATCACCTTTGCACATGGGGACCTGTCTGCCCAAATGCTCTCTCCGCTTCTTTGCCAGGCTAATGCCACAGACCCTTCCAGATTCAGGTCACGTGCTGTCCTGAAACACCGTTCTGACTTCTCCAGGGCTCAGATGCTCCTCCTGTGGACTCTGTACAGATCCTGGACCACACTGGATTCCACCTTCTGTCTGCAGATCTGCACCCCACCCCACCCCGCTGGACTGTGGACTCCTTTAGGCCCAAGGCCGTGCGCCATCTGTTTCTCTCCAGCACCCAGAGCGGGCCGGGCACAGCAGGAGCTCAAACAATACCAGAGAAATGACTGAAAGGATGGGTAAGGTGGACCCGACTGGAGCATCTGATCGGGGGGAATCCATTTTCTATTTCACATCCAAAGTTCCCAAAGCATATGAAAAGTGAACACTAAAATGATATCTCAGAATTTCCCCAAATTTCTCAACTGTTTATCCATGTTTAGTATTATATAACCAAGTGCTGATGTAGCCTTAAAGGAATCCTGTTATATAATTCAGTCCACTTAACTGCAGCTCACTTTGGGAGGGAGGGCTTGGGATGGGCAGGAGGATGGCTCTCTGCACCGCCCAGGCTGGGCCAGCCCCCCCCCCCCCCAGGTGTTTCCAGGATTCTACTGCTGGTGCCGGCCCAGGAAGACACTTCGCAGGTCCCCAGCAGTTGGGCAGAGCCTGTGGGTGGGACTGGGGGGAGGGGTGCTGGCTCCAGCTTCCTCCTCAAGCGCAGGAGCAGCTATTTAAAGATCTTGTTCCTGCAGCTCTGCTGGAGAGAGACTGTTGCCAAACCAGAGAGCTCATTTTATTGTTTTTCTAGAACAGCAGGGATGTTGTTACAAGTGTTCGAGAAGAGGGAAGCCAAGAAGATTCCACGGCATCTTGACAACTGCCCGCAGGAAGCGCACTGCTTGGCCCGCAAGGCGAAGCTCCTGAGGGGGCTGACACGCAGGGCATCTGTGAACCACTGTTTGGCCACCGGCCCCGCCACTTAGCACCTCCTCCGCCAGTGTCCCCAGGGGCTGCCAAGCGGGAGGCACCCCAGCCGGCTGGAAGGCGCCCGGGATGCCGGACTTAGCGCGGACACAGTTCCAAGCGGAACGAAAGGCGAGCTCTGGCCAGAAGAAAGCCCGGGAGACGCACTTCTGCCGAGGGATGTGTCCCCTGCCCTTTGAAGTGCTCGCGGCACTGTCACTCCCAAGTGGAGGCGGTTAAACCAGCGCCCAGAGGAGGCAGACGGGGAGAAAACCACCCGGGTGCTAGGGACAGAGGCGAGTGATCAGCAAGGATCAGGTTCGGAGACAGCGGACAGGGGTGGCCCCGCAGGCCGAGGGAGCCTGGTGGGGACAGAGGCGGAGGGGGGATGGACAGGGGTGGCCCCGCAGGCCGAGGGAGCCTGGTGGGGACAGAGGCGGTGGGAGGACGGACAGGGGTGGCCCCGCAGGCCGAGGGAGCCTGGTGGGGACAGAGGCGGTGGGGGGACGGACAGGGGTGGCCCCGCAGGCCGAGGGAGCCGGTGGGGACAGAGGCGGTGGGGGGACGGACAGGGGTGGCCCCGCAGGCCGAGGGAGCCGGTGGGGACAGAGGCGGTGGGAGGACGCAACGCGGTCGGGAGGGGACGAGCCGGGGAGCGCGGCGCGGAGAGCTTGGGGCGCACACGGCGCAGCGACACTCACCCGGCTCCCCGTGCCAGCGGCGGGCCGCGCCCGGGTGGGGCCCCTCGAAGGCAGCTCCCCCGGGCCCCAGGCCGCCGACTCGGCCAGCAGCTGGTCCAGCAGGCGCAGGGTTTCGTCCCGGCTGTCGAGGGGCGTCGCGGCGTCCGGGCCGGCCGCGCCCCCAGCCTCCGCCCCTGCTGCCTCCGGGGTCGCCTCCGGGGTCACCGCCGTCGCCGAGGCCAGTGGCCCCGTCGCGTCCTCCCGGGCTGCCCCGCCGGGCCCCGCTGGCCGGCTGTCGGGGCCGCGCAGCCGCCGCAGGGCCCGGCTGCTCCGGCTGCTGCCGCTGCCCATGGTGCGCCCGCCGCCCGCCCAGCAGGCCCGTCGCCCGGGAGCCGTCCGGGGGCGGGAGCGCGGCGGAGGCGGGGACGCGGGAGGGGGCGCGGCCGGGGTGAATGGGGGGCCGGGGTTGGGGGGGCTGGTGTTGGGGGCGCCGGAGGCGGGGTTGACCCGAGTCGGGTGGCGGTGGGCGGGGTCACGAGATCGGGGGCGGGGTAACTGGATGGGGGCCACTGGGACGAGGCGACACCCCTCTTTCGTCCTCTGCCGGGGTCCCCTCCTTACCAGTCCCCGTCGCCTGGGAGAACTGTGGGAGGTGGCCCCGCAGGCGCACCCCGTTGCAGCACCTTCACCTCTCGGGGCCTCCTAGTCCCACACGTGGGGACGGGGCGGGCGGTAGGTACCCCGGTGTAAGGTAGGGACGCGCGGGCCCAGGCACCTCCGTGGCCTCCCCGTCCTCCGTGTCTGCCCCTCCGTCCTGCGCAAGGACAGACCTGCGACGGACCGAGGAGGGACGGGGACGATGCTCCTGGGCCTGACGGCCCCTCCAGCCTCCCCAGGGGGCGTAGCAGCGGGCCGTGGGGGTCTTCGGTCTCCCTTCCCTCTCCTGCCCCATCCCAGACCTGGCACCTGAGCCTCATCAAAAACCTCATCAAGCCCGTCCCCTGTGGCTCGGTGGTTGAGTGTGGACCCTGCACCAAGAGGTCATGGGTTCGACTCCGGGTCAGGGCACATGCCCAGGTTGTGGGCCCAATCCCCAGTGGGGGGCACGCAGGAGGCGGCCAGTGGATGTTCTCTCTCATAGATGCCTCATTCTCTTACTCCCTCTCCCTTCCTCTCTCTAAAATCAATAAAGAAAAACATTTAAAAAAACGCACACACCTCATCAAGAAGTAATCACATTTGGGAAAGAAAAGATTTTAAAAGAGGGACACAGAAAAAACATGCTCCCCTCCCCGGCCCTGTCCCCCAAAAAACAAAGGCTATCGCAGTAGTCATTCTAGCTTTTGGTTTGGGGATAGAAAAGAAAATAAAATAAAAGAAAAGAAAAAAGAGAAGAGAAGAGAAGAGAAGAGAAGAGAAGAGAAGAGAAGAGAAGAGAAGAGAAGAGAAGAGAAGAAACACGTATATTGTTTTTTAAAATATTTTTTATCTCTTTTTTAGAGAGAGAGAGAGAAACATGGATGTGAGAAACATCCATGGGCTGCCTCCTGCACCATCCAGCCCACAACCCAGGCATGCGCCCCCACAGGGGACAGAAGGGGGACCTCTCAGTCCATGGGAGGACACTCAATCCACTGAGCACACAGGCTGGGTTATATTATTTTTTAAGTGAACTAACCCCAGAATAAGAGCAGGAAAGGCTCCGGAGCTGGGAGGCTCAAACCCAGGGGGGTTATTGTCGGTCATGCTTGTATTTTACTGCAACTTGGTTGCTTCCTCTCCCTTCCCCACTTACACACCCGCCTGTCTAAAGCTGGACAACTCATACCCTGGGTTTCACTCACCCTGACGTGACATTAACCCGAATCCAGACTGGATTGCAGAAAAACCGTTCACATGAAATTTCAGTTAACCTTTACCAACCATACACTTGACATTTTTACTATTTTATCACTTTGGGAGTAGGCATTAAAACGTTATGCCCAAGAACATGGAATAAACATGGGATTCAAGTCCATAGCCATTTGGTTTTATTATTATGAGGCCAAAGAAGTATTGTTAACATCCCTTCCTTTTTTTTTTTTTTTTTTTTTAATGTGCTGTGCCTTAGCCATCCAGATGTAGAGTTGGGCCAAATACATTATTTGATATCATTTGGGTGTTCTAAGTCCACAGATGTGTCTACTTTGGAAGCTCTCAATACAAGTTTTCTCTTTAAGAAAACAAATCTCATCTTGAAACTCTTGAAGCCTGGAAAAAAGTGTTAGATGGAAATTTTTTTCTTGAACTAAGTTCAACTAAGTTTAATCATTTAAAGGAAAACATGCTTTACTTCTGCCTAAGGAGAGTCTTGTCATGTGACTCATAGTTTAACTCCATCCCCAGCTCCCTGTGTTCACCTCCCAGGGTAATAGATTTTTCTGACCCCTCTTGATTCCAAGCCTTGTCCAGCTCACTCACTCGCTCCGGGGAGAGGCGTTCCAAGCCTGTGTTCCTGTCACTCTGAGAGCACATTTAAAATCGGCCACCCTTGGAGACCTGGCTTCCATCAGATACGAGAAAAGCTCAGCTTGAGTTGATTACGAGCTCCCTAAGCAGACAACCCAGCAATTCCCACGTGACTAAGGCCTCCTGAGATCATCTCTAGAAATAAACAAGAATCTCTTTGTCCCAAAGGGATGGCAGAAATCCCAGAAATATTGGGACATTGAAAATGGGGTCTAGTCCTGGCCAGTTTTCTCAGTGGTTAGAGCATTAGCTCAAGAACCGAAGGGTCTCAGGTTCGATTCCCGGTCAAGGGCACAATACCTGGGTTGTAGGTTCAATCCCCAGCCCTGGCCCAGGTCATGTGGGAGGCACCCAATCAATGTGTCTCTCTCATATGGATGTTTCTCTCTCTCTCTCTCTCTCTCAACCCTTTCTACTCTATCTAAAAATCAGTGGAAAATATCTTCAGTGAGGATTAACAAAAAAAAGAAAAGAAAAAGAAAATGGGGTGTAATCCCAGTTAAGAAAGCATCCTGGCAGCCACACCGCTCCGGTGACTGTTTTGGTGGCTGGGGAGGGGGTTGAAGGTGAGCCCAGCTTCGGAGCTGTCGGCCGAGCTCCTGGAGAAGAACTTCCTGCAATGAACAAATGACACTTTGGGAAGGGACTGCAGTTGGTACTCAGAGCAGGAAATTTGTCCTCAGTGATATTTTCCTTGGCAACAGGACTAGCCTTGCATCTGGAGAGGAAGGGGGTCCGTTCCTTACCACAGCCCCGGGACCACCCCCGTTACAGCAGGCCCCAGGCCGTCCTGCATCAAAGCCTCACTCAAGCGCCCTTCTTCAGGGACCCTCCAGATCTACTCTCCCTGCTCAGAACCTCTATAATTTCCACCATTCCTGACATACCACTTGGTCATGCATAGGGGAGATGCTGGTTATGATGAATATGCAGAAAGATACCGTTTATATTCTTATATTCCGATGAGAAAGGAGACAGCATTTGAAACATAGGCGAGTCCTGTTTCTATTTTTAATGCTCAGTCAGTAACTTGAGAGAGCCACAGTGCTATTGATCGTTGCTGATACGATTGGGCAGCAGTAGCTCATATAACTGCTATTGTCTTTGGGCAGAGTGTCCAAGATTTGCATTTGGTTTCATGGTTCCTTACAAGAGTGAGTACTATTCATTAAAGATAATTAATGAGTTACAGAACCCCACAGACTTACTCACAAATAGGAGTAAGTCCTCAGAGATGTATACATCATGATTGGGCCCATTCTATAACATTGTATCCTATTGGTTCTGTTTCTCTGGATAACTCTGCCTAATACAGTAAATCACATAAAATCTATGAGTAACAGAAGAAGCACATTTATTTTCCTATATTCCTAAAAAAGCTGACACTTCTAGTTGGGACAGTCTTGGGCTTCCTCTGGCACATTGCCCAAGGTTGTGGATAGTTCTGTGCACTCTCAACTCTGAAGTAAACCAACACGGCAGCAGACACCCTCAGGGCACAAGAGACCCAGAAGACACTGGGTAAGGGGGTAAGGAGCGGATGCTGAGGTCAGGAGGTGAGCTCTGCCCAGGCAGGAGGCAAGTCATCATTTTGGATCTGAAACTGCCAACCAGACACGCGAGTGGGGCCTCCCAGCCCCAAGAGGTGTGGTTTTTTTCACTCATGATTCCATCATCAGTGGTGTTAACATTACGAGTAATCACAGCTCCACAGTAACCTTATGACTTGGTTGGCACGGCTTCCTTTTCTATGCGTCTGGCGTGTTTAAGAGAATGGACCCTTAGACCTGAAAATGGGGTGGTTAGTACTGGGGCTGGCAACGCACAGTAAAGTCAGCAAGCCCAATCCAGCTTCCACCTGTTTCCCTTTTTTATTTTTTAAATTATTTATTTTTTTAATCCTCACCTGAGGACATTTTTCCATATTTTGTTCAGATAGAGTGGGAGGGGGAGAGAGAGAGAGAGAGACAAACATCGACATGAAAGGGACATATCGAGTGGCTGCCACCCTCACGACCCAACCAGGGCCGGGGACAAACTGCAACCGAGGTACGTGCCCTTAGCGGGAACCGAACCCGGGTCTCTCTGGACCGCAAGCCGACGCTCTAACCGCTGAGTTCACCCTGGCCGGTTTGGCTCAGCGGTTAGAGCGTCCTAGGTTCCATTCTGCCAAGGGCACGTATCTCGGTTGCGGTTCGTCCCTGGACCCAGTTGGGGTCATGTGGATGGCAACCAGTCTATGTGTCTATGTGTTTCTCTCACATTGATGTTTCTCTTTCTCTCTCTCTCTCTCTCTCTCTCTCTCTCTCCTCCCCCCCCCCACTCTGTCTGAAGATAAATGTAAAAATGTCCTTGGGTGAGGATTTTTAAAAAAAATGTTTTTTATTGATTTTTAAAGAGAGAGGAAGGGAGAGGGAGAGAGAGAGCGAAAACATCAATGAGAAAGAGCATTGACTAGACGCCTCCTGCATGCCCCCCTAACTGGGGATTTGGCCCACAACCTGGGCATGTGTCCTGACCAGGAATCGAACCAGTGACCTCTTGGTGCATGGGTCGACACTCCACCACTGAGCCACACTGGCTGGGCTCCACCTGTTTCTGTAAGTGATGTTTTATTGGAACACAGCCATGCTCTATTTGTGTGTCTCTGGCTGACTTTGTTATGAACACACTTGGGGTGTTCTGTTCCAAAACAGATGTAGTTGCTACAAAGTAGCTGTATTTACATGCAGCAAGTCTAAGAGAGGGAATTCACATCCAAAGCTCTGCCTCTCAGAAGGGAGGCTTAGCCATTGCTTATGTGTATACTGTTGGGTCAATTACAAGCTGATTTCTCCTTTGGA